ATTACGCTTTTTTAACTCCATCTTCGGCCACAATTGGAGCAAACAACAACTTCGCAACCATTGGGACGCAATGCGTCGAGAACACAAACGTCTCACCTAGCTCTTGGCTTGTATCGCGGTTGAATAATGAACACAACCTATCAGCAGGTCGGATCATAGATCCAAAGAATGGTGGACCAGAAAAATCAAGGTACTAAGTTTGGACGATTGCCACAGTACGTAGATAATTACTAAATCACTTGCATTTGTGTGCTCCGTAAGCTTGGCTAAATCCAAACTGTATCCATGAAAACAAATTGCATTTAGATAAATCGGAGGGGTTGTTTCAATCTTTGATTTGAGTTGGGACTTTCTCTTTCGAGACCCTGTAGTTTAGGAATTGGTCATGTGAAAATGTGGGATTATGCAGTGCGTTGATAAGTCCTGGGTGTTTTCCATGTATAAGTTTTCATCTCACATTTATTAGCTTCAATAAGTTGTGATAAGTGGTAGTCATTAATTCAATAAATTAGTTGCTTGAGATGCTTCACTTTACAATGCTCATGCTTGCTGCTTATTTCATTTTCCTTGTTGTTGTAATATGTTTTAAGTGCCCTAGAATTGCTGAAGTGAGAAATGGGCATACGAAGTTGCGAATTGTATGCCATTTTACCGAATAGTGTATCCCCTATAATCGAATACCACAAATATTTCTCGTTAATCTGTGTTTTGTGTGGTGTTAGTGACGATATAATGTTTTCATTTCCAACTTACTTGCATTGGTGTTATTGTGCAACAGTTATTGCAGGAGAATAAGGATTACAAGGATTTTAAAGATAAAGATGTCGGTGAGATCTACATCCGATATCGTTACTTTCCAACAATGGTTATGACGATGACAAGTATGCAATGACCTCGACAAAGTTATGTTGAATGAGCTTCGATTTGGTCGAAGACAGTGCAGTTGAAGACCATAGGGATGCAATCTCTGTCGATTGGGAGAGTACTGGTTCGAGTGATGAGGGAGACAAAGAAAAATGTAATTCCAGCATGAATGTTTCCAATGCCAGAAGTGACGAAAAAGAAAATTGGCAACGACTTCGTAAAAGGGGAAGATAAAGAAAATTCATGCTCAGGAGTTGTCATTTTCCGTTGACCGGGAAAACAGTGTTGCCGATGAAGTGGCGGCGAAGATAAATACCATTATGGCACTGACTGAAAATGCTGAATTTTTTTGAGTTAAAGAGTAGCTTGCAGTTGGAAGGCTCGAGCGACAAACCCCTCTATACTTTTACACATGTACGCTTCTAGCACAAAGCGCTATCGGGATATGCTAGCGTCATGCGAGATGTATATGGAAAATTTAAGTGGAATGAGTGGGAGTTTAATGAGTAACAAATCACTCCATTAGTGGCACTACAAACTCTAGTGTGTGTTTTTTTCTAATTTGTTTTTCCCCAGGACAATTATGGCTTTCTATACCTTTACCCAAGTACTTTAACATTATGTTCCATTTCATACATGATTAAGTTGTCTAGTATTGACATTTTGGCATGCAAGCTGTACCAACTATTCAAAAAAAAACCTACATCACTATGGACATGTTGCACTTTATTCGGTTAGTGCTGAAAGATTTCCAAAAAAGATATACATTACATGCAATAGTTGTATATCATGCATGTACTCTTTGTGATCAGAAGTAGACTGATTCCATTTCAATAAAAGAAAACACTTATCAACCTTGTATACTTCTCTATAAATTAGTTGCTTAAAACAAGGTACAATGATATGTGAAGTCTCTGGTTAGTAACACAACTTTGTACTGTAGTCCAATTTTTTTCATATTGTGCTAAAGAAAAAATCCAATTGTTATTCCTCAATTACACAATGGATGATGTGAACTTCAATTGTGTGCTTTTATCGAGCTTCGACAAGGAAGAATAAGTCAATGATGATGAGTTTTTTAGCCAAATGTCGGATGACGTAATGAATGGGTTACGTATTGTAGAATCGCATACAGCGATGCGAGGAACTACTATTGCAAACAACGGCGTTGTATTCGAAGATTTCGTTTTTCCTGAAATGGCCATGTTTATGAAGGAAGCAATGGGAGAAAACGGACATATGTGCTATCAAGAGTTCCGAATGTACCCACAAGTATTGCGACATTTTGTCCATATTCTGCCGGCCTAATATGGCTTAAACAGTAGCCAGCATGTAGATATCTACGAGCGAGTTGGAATGTTCTTGTGCATATTAGCGCATGGAAAGAGATACTAACAGATGACAATTATATTCAATCATTTGTTTCAAACTGTATGCCACTACTTCAAAGAGGTTCTTCGTGTCGTTGTTGTGTTATCGGCACGTCTTTTACAACCCAGTCCAAACTATAATGAATGCGAGGGTGAGGAGCCCTACTGGCCAGACCCGATTAAGCATTCCCTATTTCGGGATTGCATTGGAGCTATTGATGGAACACATGTGAATTCTGTACTATCGCGTCACGAGCGTGTGAATTTTATAGGCCGAAAAGAAGTATCGATGCAAAATGTGTTGCCCGCTTGTGATTTTAGTCTATGTTTCACATTTGTACTTGTTGGCACCACCAGGAATACGCATAATGCCAAAATACTAGCTCGTGCTATATACAGTCTAGAAATTTACTTTTCGCAACCAGCGTCGGGTAAGTATTATTTGGTTGACTCCGATTTTTCTCATCGACCGAGATATATGGCCTCATACAAAGGATTTATATATTGTACCATTTTCAAGAGTTTCGCGATGATAGAATAGGTCGTCTCGCCATTTTCAGAATGTTCGTGAGAGGTTTAACTACATACACTCTTCGTGCAGCAACGTTATTGAACGTGTCTTTGGTATGTGGAAGTAAAGATGGCAAATTCTTAATTGTATGTCTAACTATTCATTTCAAACTCAAGTTGTAGTAGTCGTCGCAATGATGTGTATTCATAATTTTTTATGTCGTTCTGGATTTGTGGACGAGGCGTTTATGAGAGCAGAGACAAATGACGATGCATCCGAGGTGGAGCAATCTAACGCTGAAGATGAAATTGATGCCTAAATGAATGCTGCTAAATGTAGCGAAGTGAGTGGAATAGACTTCGCGATTGTATGACACATAACAATGACGATATAATTTTTACAGAACACAACATTTTGCACATATGTAGTGTTCTACGAACCTAGAAAAATAAATTGATATATACGTTGACTTTTTTGCTTTTCCATTTGTACGATGAAATTCATTTCTATCTGAAGTCAATATGGAGCCGTACGCAACACCGAGATGTACACGTCAATGAAGTTGCCAAAATTTGCTTTCTTGTGATTTCAAAAGTGCTAGCCTTTCACGTGTTGAAAATCACTTTTTTTGTTTCAAAAGTTTTCAAAATAAAAAGAGGAGAGGAGAGCAAAAATGTAAAATTGTACTAAATTCCATTTGTCCCAAAAAGATGTTCATTGTAGCGAGCCCTATTTGATTGATGTGAGAATACATTTTTGGGAGAAAAGAATGGGGATCAAAAGGAGTGTAAACCAAACTAGATAAATGGATAGTTTAGCAAACAGACTAATAGTACATTATTATTCTCCTTATGAAAGGCGCATGCATGCACACAAGACAAAAATTCAATATTTCAATTTTCTATGTTGGACAAACCACCCACAATTCTCGTATTTCACCTAGTATTAAAATATTTCCAGTATTCATGAATCCTGATGTAGCCTCAGAAAATAAATGGAAATGAAATCATCTTATCTTTTTTGATGATTCCGATTTGGGCTGTCCATGTTCATGGTGTCGCACTTGCCTGCACACTTTGTCTCTTATCTTTGGACATAATAGAAAAGCGAACACGAGAAAGAAACTCTGTCACTGGGCCCTACTTTGCTTAATAAATTACTAATTATTATTTTTAAATATGCACATTTTATTATAATCTACTTATACCTTAACCCGAAAAAATTAACAGTTATAACTTATAAGTAAATTTTATTTTTATTTTAGCTAATTAGATCATTGTTCAGAAACGATTGTTATTTTGATCGTTTGAATCTGGCTAAGATGTGAATGAGATTTTTTTTCTTTCGAATTATTATAAATATTTACTTTTTATAGTTGAAGATCATATCTTGAGATTTTCATAATGCGGATGTTTTGAATCTTCCAAAAAAGATAAAGACAATCGTGATGTCGATTTCCAGTTCACCGAAAACAAGATTTACTCTGTTTTTACCCTAATCTCTATCTAAATTTTAGGTAAATTTCAGAAACTCCCCTGACATTTGTAACAAGTTCTGAGATACCTCATCGAAACCTTCCGATTATCATAAACTTTTTATTTTACCTTTTTCTTTATGTTAGACATAAAAATATATTTATTTCTTATTTATCTTTTCACAAATTATTACATTCAATACATTTGTCAAAATTATCCATTACAATTTTTTCTTAGAAAGGAATAAAATCGGTACATTTTGGTATTATATAAGAACACCTTAAACTTATAGTATGAGTGGCAACATATTCATCTTACGCTTCGAATGTGATCAAAATTATTTTATTCTACAACGAATGTTTCTAAAATGAGTTTTTCCCCTTGTACAACGTAGTTCGTGAATCGTTGCCTTTTTTTTTTGGTCATCTTCCGGCGGTAATCTGCTAACCCTGTATGAAATACGTGAAATTTTCCTTGGTAGTGTAAAATTGCTCTTCTAAAATTTCCCTTTAAACTTTTCTTATCAACAAAAATAATTTTATATAAAACATAATAACCTACTAACGACTAGAAAACAAAAACATGTGAACTTGAAAGAACTGTGCTTCTCTCTGCCTGTACACTTTGACGCCGAGACTCCTACCTTACCTCAAGGAAAGACAAGCAAAAGACGACACCACAAACATATTAGAAGAATAAATCAAAAAACAAAAATTTCATCATAAAACACACCGAAATAGCCAAATTCCCACACTCCACCATTCTGAGCCAAAACAGAACATGGGTTTCTCACATTTCCTCTTCTTTTTCTTTCTACTTCTTACATTTTCATCTCCAACACCCATATCTGCAAACCCTGAACTGACTGCTTTAATGGACTTGAAATCAAGTCTTGACCCGGAAAATGTTTATTTAACTTCATGGGTTAATTCGGGTGATCCATGCGATGGGTCCTTTGAGGGGGTTGCCTGCAATGAGAAAGGTCAGGTGGCTAATATTTCTCTGCAGGGAAAAGGGCTAGCCGGGAAACTTTCGTCGGCGGTTGGTGGGCTTAAACACTTGACGGGTTTGTACTTGCATTATAACTCTCTGTACGGGGAGATTCCAAAAGATGTTGAGAACTTGGCTGAACTTAGTGATCTGTACTTGAATATTAATAATTTTTCTGGGGTGATTCCATCTGAGATTGGTAACATGCAAAGCTTACAAGGTCAGCTTTTCATTTCTCTATCTCTCTCTCTCTCTCACTGTTTGTGTAATGTGTGCGAAGGAACTATTTTTACTCTTTTTTCTTGATTTTCTTTGTTTATTTTGGGTTGCTTCTCTCAAATCTTGTGTTCCTGCAGTTTAGAGGGGTTTTTTTTTTTTTTTTTTTTTTNTTTTTTTTTTTTTTTTTTTTTTTTTTCATTTTTATCAAGCAAAGTAAAATTTGTGCATCTGGGATTTCTTTCTGAAAAATTAAACCTTTATGGAATGATTGATGATAGTAGTGATTTAAAGCTGAAGATCAAGCTAAAATGTTGTTGACTATATATATTGTCCATTGTGCTTAACAAACGTGTACACAGTAAAAATAAATCCCCCTGGGTTGGAGGAAGATAAGAACGTTGCCATAAGAATTGTTCTTTTCCGATCTATTTACCATCTTTCTGCATTCGATTTATGTCTTACTAAAAATTCCAATTTTCCTGGCAAACAATTGTGCATTACCAAAAAAACCTTGGGAATTTTCCTCCTTCAGAAACTTCTAATTTTTACTGGACATTTACTTTATGTATTTTTTGAAAAATTTCACTTTTTCTGCAGATATGCTTGTCCACTGTAATTGTTAGATTTTTGTTCCTTTGCTTTTATAAAAAACTCAAATTTTTACATCACAAGTTTTGATCGCTTTTATATTTGTTGTGAAGCTTGAAATGCAGAAGCAATTTGATTCTTTTGGATTTGAATTTACAGTTCAATGTCCATTTTCTGTGCAGTTTTGCAGCTCTGTTATAACCAGCTCACTGGAAGCATACCAACCCAACTGGGGTCTCTGAAGAAGCTGAATGTATTGGCTCTACAATCTAATCAGTTATCTGGAGCAATTCCTGCTAGCTTGGGAGAAATGGGAGTATTGATGAGACTCGATTTAAGTTTTAATCACCTTTTTGGACCGATTCCTACAAAACTAGCCGATGCTCCATTGCTTGAAGTCCTAAATGTCAGAAACAACTCTCTTTCTGGAAATGTTCCTCTTGGTAATTTGTCATTCACGTAGTCAATGTGTTCTTTTATATGTTTGTTTTAGATTTCAAGAATGTTATTTTGATTTAACTTTTATGATTAATGAAGCTTTGAAGAGATTGGTCGATGGATTTCAGTACGAGAATAATCCTAGGCTATGTGGATCTGGTTTTCCATCCTTGAAAATTTGCAATGCTTTCGACAATGTCAATCCTAATAGGTCTGAGCCTTATGATGGTCGTTCAACTAGACTCCCGACACGAGACATTCCTGAGACTGCCAATCTAAACTTGAGCTGCACCAGTGGTCATTGTTCGAAGTCGTCAAAGACCTCGACGGCATCAGTGGCGGTCGGAGTAGTTGTTGTTTCCGTTATCGTGTCAGCCATAGGTATTCTTACCTTCACACGGTATCGACGTTGTAAACAGAAACTCGGGAGCGCGATTGATAAGTCTGATAACTGTCCCAGTACTGACCAGGCCAATGAGTTCGTTAGGAAGAATGGTTCTCCTCTTGTCAGTCTAGAATACTCGAACGGGTGGGATCCGTTGGCCGAGGGTCATCGTTTTGGCGTCTCCCAGGAGGTTATGCAGAAGTTTAGGCTCAATTCACAAGAGATAGAGACAGCTACTCAGTACTTCGCAGATAAGAATTTGTTGGGAAAGAGCAACTATTCAGTGACATATAAAGGAATTTTACGAGATGGATCTGTTGTTGCTATTAAGAGAATCACGAAAACTAGTTGCAAGTCTGAGGAAACTGAATTCTTAAAGGGATTGAATGTCCTAACCTCACTGACACATGAAAGCTTAGTTAGACTGAGAGGGTTTTGCTGTTCCCGAGGCCGTGGCGAGTGTTTCCTTGTTTACGATTTCGTTCCAAATGGGAATTTATTTCAGTATCTCGATGTCAAGGAGGGAGATAGTCAGATTCTTGAATGGTCTACCCGAGTTTCTATCATCCACAGCATCGCCAAAGGTCAGTTTATTGCTAAACTCTTGATAAAGTTTCAAAAGCAATTATAACACAATGCCGACATGTTTGGTATGGAGGATTTGACATCATTCACAATATTAGCAAAGAAACTGAAATTTTGTTATACTGTTCAGAGATCGTACCAAGCATGCATGGAACGTTACATTTAGTGTCCAACGAGTTCCATAACATCCTCCCACCGTTTATTCCATTTGTTGTACTTGACGGTCTAACTTTGTAAACTTCCATCTCATTGTCCTTTCTTTAGATCCTGGAAGATGTTGTTAGATTATATAGGTTGTTTCTTGTTGTATTTACTACACAAAGATTCACAATACCACCCAATTCAATCAATTAAAATCCCACAGGTCTGCTTTTCATAATGCCTTCTGTATGGTGGAACACAAAATTTTCATCAACTACTGATCCTTTGGTTTATCAGTTATGCTCAAATTATTTTTTCTAAGCAGGTATAGAGTATTTACACGCGTTCAGCATAAACAAGCCTTCTCTGGTTCACCAAAACATTTCTGCTAAGAACGTGCTCATCGACCAGCAATTTAGACCTTTGCTATCTGATTCGGGCCTGCACAAGCTTCTCACAAATGACACTATCTTCTCAATACTCAAGGCCAGTGCCGGAATGGGATATCTTGCTCCTGAATATACTAATACTGGACGGTTCACCGAAAAAAGTGATATTTATGCTTTTGGGGTCCTTATTTTCCAGATCCTTTCTGGGAAGCGTAAATATACCACTTCCATGAGAGCTGCTGCTGAGTCGTGCAGATTCCAAGAGTTAATAGATGCAAATCTTCGCGGGAGTTTCTTCGAAACTGATGCTGCGAAGATTGCGAAAGTTGCTGTGTTGTGTACAAATGATTCTCCGGAGGAGAGGCCATCAATGGAAACAATTATACAAGAACTCGGTTACTGTGTTAATTTCTTTTTACATCCACTAGTTTCTCCGACTCCTTATTCGAGCAGCATCTAGTATGGTACCCGGATTGGAGATAGATTCCTACTAACTTAATAGTGTAAATTTTAGGAGTGACTGTATTATGGGCACAGTCCTTTTGCTGAGGACTGAGGCTATTTCGTGAATGTTGTGTTCATCCACTGTCTATGTGGAATGTATGGGCGCTTTTCCCTTTTAATAATCTCGTGTATTAAGGAAATATATTCTGTAAGGATTCTTTCACTTCCTTGAGACCGTGCACTCGAGTCAATGGACTAGTTAGACGACAAATTTCATTATATTCATATCTTTTGTATTCTTGTCAAGTCACGTCGAGTATGAGTGATAATCAAAGTGCTTTTTGACCACAAGCAACACATGTTATTATAACTGATGGCTGTAATACACATCCAGCTATCAATGTTTTGAGTATGTCTTGAATTCTTTAAGCCAAGTCCACTAATAATTGTCTGATCTGATTCTAATCTCCTAAAGCAGGGCCTGACTTGCTGTTGTAGACAATCAGTGAATTCTTTACGGTGTTCTTTTATCTAGTTTCTTCGATGCATGAGATGCTGAGTTTTATTTGTATCTCGATGGTTTGCCTACGTTCTCAATTGTAAACCATGACCCGTTAATACTAAAGATGAATAGATTTTGTCAGGTCTATCGTCCAATAGAGAATCTACCGTTAGACGATTTTTCAATCTACCGTTAGACGATTTTTCAAAGTAAATTTTCTAAAGCAAATAGTTTTTCTCAAGAATATTTTCATTTTTTTTTTATCTTATATCTAAATATTCTATCTAAATTGTATTGAAGAATAATTTTTTGTAAATATTATAGTGTGCTTGTCTCCCATTATTCGGAAAAAAATAGAGTAATGAATATTATTTTTTGAAGAATGTGTGGTTGGAAAGTAAAGTAATTTTATTGGTTTGTGTGTAGAATATTTTATTGGATGAATGTGTGGTGGAGAATTTTACTGTAACAAGCAATTTTTTAGAATAATGGTAGATAAATAGGGACGTGACAAATTTATACTCATCCAGCTATCAATGTTTTGAGTAAGTCTTGAATTCTTTTAGCCAAGTCCACTAATAATTGTCTGATCTTGTGCTAATCTCCTTAAGCAGGGCCTGACTTGCTGTTGTAGACAATCAGTGAATTCTTTACGGTGTTCTTTTATCTAGTTTCTTCGATGCATGAGATGCTGAGTTTTATTTGTATCTCGAGAGATGGTTTGCCTACGTTCTCAATTGTAAACTGTGACCCGTCAATACTAAAGATGAATATATTTTGTCAGGTCTATCATCCAATAGAGAATCTACCGTTAGACGATTTTTCAAAGTAAATTTTCTAAAGCAAATAGTTTTTCTCAAGAATATTTTCATTTTTTTTTAATCTTATATCTAAATATTCTATCTAAATTGTATTGAAGAATAATTTTTTGTAAATATTATAGTGTGTTTGTCTCCGATTATTGGGAAAAAAATAGAGTAATGAATATTATTTTTTGAAGAATGTGTGGTTGAAAAGTAAAGTAATTTTATTGGTTTGTGTGTAGAATATTTTATTGGATGAATGTGTGGTGGAGAATTTTACTGTAACAAGCAATTTTTTAGAATAATTGTAGATAAATAGGGGAGGTGACAATTTTTTTTTTATTTGGTAGATAAAGTTTTAGAGATATTGATGTGGATTTCTAAATGAATTAAAAATGAAAAACCTTTTCCAACTTTTGTTTTCCACGTGTCACAATTTTTACCTAAGTAGGACGCTTTTCCGTGCCTCTATAACCCCCAGTATTTTGGCGTTAGGGTTTTAAAGCTCCCAAACTGCACCGTTTCACTCTCCTCTAGGGTTTTAGAGAACTACGCTGCAATTCCACATTACCAATGGCTTTCTGGGGTATGCGAACTTCCATAGACATAATTATAATTATAATCAGACAAACCATTATTTTTATGTATCTTTAATGGTTGATTTTGTGATTAGGAATTGAAGTAAAACCAAGCAAACCCTATATCCATCGGTACGACAATGAGAGGGGAAGACTTCATATATCTCAGGTTTGTTTTCAATTTCTGAAAAGCTTTGTTTAATATATATGAACTTGAGAGCTTAGAGATGCCATTTGTCATTGTATTTCTACACACGCACACACAGTCTGATTGTGAATTTATAGTTAATGCTTAACCCTGAATTATCATGTTTTTGCAAAATTATAAAGTATTTAAGCTCTAATTTCCGGGATTGGCAAATGACTTGTGTTTACGCTCTGGATCGTGAAATATGGATTGCTTGTGTGGCTGATATTTAGGCAACGCTGGGTAGTGGTTCTTCAACTAAGAAGAGCAAAGTGCAGTGTAATGTGGGAGATAAAAGCCCCATCTACTTATGTTCGTTGTTACCTGAAATACTCGAGACTTGCACGTTGAATCTCGAGTTTGAGGAGGAAGAGGATGAAGTGACGTTCTCAGTTATTGGCCCTCACAGTGTGCATCTCTCCGGTTTCTTCTATGGTGAAACTGATCAGGACAAATTTGGAGATGATTCTGGGTCGTATCCTTCTTTAGTTGTTTCTTAACTAATACTTCGTATATATCCGTGACTATTTATTGTATGCTCCTTTATAGGATAACATTTTTTATATGGATCAAGAATAAAAGTGTGTATGTACGCTTTTAGCTGTTTTTCGTTTTATTTCTTTAACTATGATTTAAGCGATGCTTATGAAGAGAATATCGTGGGGACTGATTCTGAAGATGAAGATGAGGATGGTGTCTTTATTGATGATGATGATGATGATGATGATCTTGGCATATTCCCGCCTTCTCCTGTCCCCAACAGTGGAGGTAGTTTCAGGAAGTAATCTGTTGTCTTGTGTTCCAATTGCATTTTGCCTTGAGCTAAATCATTTTAACAAGTTCAAGATCTTGTTTCTTGATCAATAGATGAGGAAGACAATCTTCCATGAGAGTGAAAGGCCCCTGTTTCAATTGTGGACATCTGTAGTTTCTTTGTGCCTTTTGTGGTCCCTTTTGATTTCCTCCCTTCAAATGCTTTTTGATGGTTTCGGATAGTCCTAGTAATTACATAAGCATCAGGATAATGGACCATGTTGGATTGAGCTAGTTTTTCATTCTGTAAAGACTAAAAGGACGAAATGGATGTTTGGAAGATTATCTACCAATATATTCTGTCATGTCAATTTGTTTTAGCTTGTTACAACTTTAGTGTCAAAATGACATTTCTACCATGTGTCTTGGAAGTAGATTTTTTGATCAATTGACAAAAGATGTATAAATCGTTAACCAGAAATTTGTTGTTACCAGTCAAATTATCCATGTCACCATGAATTGCATAATAACAATCTCTGGCATACCCATATCACTATTTTTTACTATATTTTCTTTGTCCTTGTTTTTTTTGTTCATCATAAAAGTGATAATAGAAGAAATAGTGGATGATGAGAAGCCTGTCAACGAGAATGATGTGTCTAAACGGTCAAAAAAGAAGAAAAGTTGGTCGAACATGTCTGATGATAACGTGGATTCTGATCAGCAGCTTGTGGTGAAGAGTGGACATGATGTTCCTGTCTTGGAAAGTGAAGATGAAGATGGTTTTCCAGTATCTACAAGCGGAGGCAAAACTCATTTTTCTAACTCCATATCAAAATCAGAACAATTCAAAGATGATAATGCAGATGAGGAATCCCAGGAAAAGAAATCAAAAACTGAAGCGAGCAAAAAATTGAAAAGAAAGATTGATGCAGTTGGTCAAGATGGAGAACATGAAAGGTAGGAATTTGTATATTGAATTTTGTCTGCCTATAGCCGATTAGTTTTAGTCTCTACTCTCTAAAATTGGTAGCTTTTTTAATTATTTGTTTACTTATTTCTATGTTCTTGTTCCACCCTTGTAAGTAGGGATAATCACACACCCCATGGCTCTTCAGATACACCTGATAATTTGTCTCAAAATGATGCTAAACAAAAGAAAAAGAATAAGAAGAAAAAGGTAACAAAGGAGGCTCAGGAAACTGTTGTTGCAGATTCCAATGATGCTGAGCAGCTGCCAACGGCTGTGATGGAAAATGACCTGAAGCCAACAAATGAGAAGTGAGTTTTGCTACCCTGACACGTAGTATTTTAGTTGTTTAATTAAACACTGCAGTTGCAGGACCAAGATTTTGACCCAAAATTGTATCTCATTTCAACTTAAAAACTAGTAACACATTGTAAAGAATCAGTCACTTTATACTCTCTTACCCAGCTGTAGGTAGGTGTTCAAAGGTCTAATGGTTCTTATGTACCTTGAAACTTTTATTTCCTCGTTATCAGGCTTTTGACATGATTCATACACTAAAATATCATCTTTTGATAGTGATTCTATCCATTAAAATCATGCAGGAAGAAACAAAAAAAGAAAAAAAAACAGAATAAAACACAGGAGATTGCATCGAACACGAATGAAGATAAAAGTTTAACAGATAAAAATGGATCCACCGTGGAGAAGGAAGAGAAGCAAGAAGCTAAATCATTGCAAGTGAGGACGTACCCAAATGGATTGGTCATAGAGGAGGTGGCCATGGGTAAACCAGATGGGAAGAGAGCTTCTCCAGGGAAAAAGGTGATTTTGACTCTTTTTATGGGTTACTCTTATATTCACTCTGCTAGCCATCTTCCTCACAGCCCTTACCCCCGTCCATCTAAAAGCACATTCAAAATTCAGTGCAAAGAATATAGAGCAATAACATGAAACCAAAGAAATATATGAGACGAATCAAAAGCAAATTGTGTTATTTTCAAAATGGGTTGAGGTCTCTACTTATCTCATAAAACTACTATTTCCACCACGTCAAATGTAGTTAGGGCTGCAGGTTGGCATTCAAAACTATTAAGCATGAGAACTACAATTATGACAAGACTATTCTATTTATGTGACTACGTTTTCATGGTTTTGACATTTTATCAAGATCATGTGGAACATGTTTCAACGCTTGTATAAAACAAATCTTTTCTTTCTGATATACAGGTTAGTGTCCATTACATTGGGAAGCTGAAGAAGAATGGCAAAATATTTGACTCTAATATTGGCAAGGCACCCTTCAAATTTCGTTTGGGTATGTTGTGTTAAGCAAGCGCTTCAAGAAATTTCTCAATTCTTTGTATTAATTCATGTACTTTGTTGTTACAGGTATAGGACAAGTTATCAAAGGATGGGATGTTGGGGTTAATGGTAATTATTATAGTCTTGCGTACTTCATTTTAATAAACTTCTGCTTATGGCTTGCAAAAGATTTTTGATAATTTTTTTCATTTCCTTTTATCATCAGGCATGCGTATTGGGGACAAAAGGAGACTCACAATTCCACCTGCCATGGGGTATGCAATTAGTTTCTTCATGCTCTTAAGTTTAGTGATGTTCTTTGTGGAATCGACAACACCTTCTAAAGCATGTATGGCTGTGTTTAAAAGCACGTCTAACTAACTTTTAAGTTACTTATCTTGCCATGCATGATTTTAAAACCTAGCTTTTTGACTAACAACTTTTCCAGAAACTAAGTCTTAAATTACTTTCTAGATAACTTTTAAGCATATTCTAACATGCTTCTAATAGCAGAGTTACAGATCGCGAAAATTTCGTATATAGAATGAATCTACTCGTGCAAAATTCTGTCATCTTTTTGTAGGCAGAGAATTTATCGATAAAGTAGGGGATGTCTGATGAATAAAATTTTCCGTTTACTTAAACGTGTGCATAACCATCAACTATGTGGTTTTCTAAATACAGTTACGGAGCTAAAGGAGCTGGTGGGACTATTCCACCGAATTCATGGCTGATATTTGACGTTGAGTTGGTAGATGTAAATTGAGCACAATAAACCTCTCACCTCTCTTTCGAATCTGTCCAACTATTGATCAAAGTTCAGCAACGTTTTGCAGGATGAAATTTTGAAATCTACTATGCTATTTCTGTCTTGTTTTTGTTTCCCAATTCTAAATCTTGCAACATTTTTGTTTGTTCTAGATCCAAACAATATTATAGTTTTGTCAATCAAGTCTTTCAAGTGCCATGCAATATTGTATAATGATTCATTCAAGAATATTACCATTATTTTGTGGGTCTGCCAGGTACCATGATGTAGCACAAGAAACACAAGTTTTAATTTACTCTCTCTCTCTATTTGACCTGGTACTTCTTCCCCTCACTCGTATGTCGTAAAGACAAAACAATAAACATGACAAGAAATTGATCGTGTGGGCACATTTAATATACAATGCTCCATAATACTCTAAACTACAATGGATAAGATTTTGATTTTATATTAAATTTCATCCACAGTTGTCCAGTTTATCTAACAAAACATGTCATAAATGCACTTGTGAACTTGAAGCTTGACAGGTTGCGGCCAGTATATGAATAAAAACTCTCAATTCAGCGAAACTATACTTTTCGTAGAAAGGTTGTTCGTGCATAGTTTAACTGCAGATCCTAGTTCTAGTGGCATATTAGCAAGGTAGGTTGGACTGTACTGCTCTCAACCTATGTTTATGAGTAACAGAAGGATGGAATCATTACACTACGTCAATTAATTTGAGTTAAAACAAAAATAAGTATTTACAATAAACACGAGTGTAATATTTAAAAACATCGAGTTATCAAATAAGTACAACGTTTTCTACTAACTCTTCCTATCGTCACATACATAGACACCTTTGACTAGATAATAAAAGCTAGAAAATCATAACAATATACACTGTTGGCATGTTTAATAAGGTAGACTCGACAACGTTCAACAAATATTAAGAAAGAAAAGTAAATTTTTTTAGCTACTATAATGCCGATCTTGTCGGTGATGCGAACCAAATATTTCCTACTTGTATTTGATCATAATGTAAGGTCCAATCCTATATCTTTTGGCCTGGAGAGCATGCTTTCAACTTTTCATCCATCCACCCCTTGTTAATTTTCTCGATGAATTCTTCAGCTCTTTTCCTCAGCTCATCATCTTCTTCATCCCAGTTCCCTTCATCATTGTCGACCATTGATATGCCCACAGACGAAGATGAATTCATCAATGTGCATACCGTCTTCAAGGAACACGAAGCATTAGTTCTTTCCATGGAACCTCTGTTATTATTAACATCATCGCGAGAAGAACAAGGGGCATCTTCATTAAACTCTGACCTCGATTTCGAGCTACCAACAAGTAGAATGATTATGATCAGATTGAATAAACAAAAGACTGCGTGAGAATTCGAAGCAGCAAGGCTGATCAAATCAAATGTGGAATTCAGCATATTTTCTTACAGAATTCGAAAGCGAAGAGTGAATGAATAAACTGGAACTCAAGCAGCTTAAAGGCTATTCCTGTCAGGTATCGGAATGGAAATGGATCGAGCCTTTTATGGCTAGTAGGTAAGAACGATTTAGGAAGAAAAAGAAGTTAAAAAATTTGAACTGTAATCTCGACTTATGTTCGAGACTGCGTACTGGGATGCTCTTAAAAGGTTGCACCATGGAAAAGGTCTATGGAGGAAGCTTTATTTAGCACAAATTGAGGATTGGATGACGAGTAGTGTGAAAGCTATTGTGTCGTGACATGTTACATGCATTAGTTTAATCCTCTGCGTATTAAATATTAAGATTCTTGAAGCCACCCACTTGATTAAATAAAGTCTAACAATCGATAATTTCCGCATGGAAAATTTTCCGACGTGTTTCATATAAAATATTAAAAAGGAAAAATTAGTTAATATCTCGTAATCATGGTCATAAAATGGGATAGAAAATAGGGAAAATTGCAGCCACGATATCAAACCTTTCACATTTTTGCAGATTTTGCCAAAACCTTTGATTTTTGCCACCCACGGTACCAAACCTTAAACAATTCGCACCCGAAGTCCAAATTGACAGAAAACGTTAGTTTGACCGTCAATTGATCAAAAATTAAAAATCTGATCAATTGTTGACTAATTCTTAAAGGGCAAAATGGTAATTTTTCCTTTTTTCATATAAAAAATAATTAAAATCAAATAATTAAATCAATAATCAATAATTTTCTCTTTTTTCATATTAAAAAAAATAATATGTTCTGTGAGAAGTGAATTTGTTGAAGAACATATGGTGAAAAAGTAATAAATTATGGAGCTACGTGCAAAATTAATTTATTATGAGAATGTAAGATTAAAAATGAGTTCCGAGGAAAAAAATTGAATTTTCTAGAACATGTACCAAAGGGGCAATTTTGTCATGACAATACCTTGTGAATGAAGTATTATTATATTAGACTAAAGAGTTGGAATCCAAACCATTCACAAGTAATTTCGTCGTAATGTGGCAAGTAAAGCATCTCTTCCTCCAAATCCATATTTGGAATGGTTGAAAATAATATTTAAATTAAAAAAAATTATGTTTCTCCTAATCAATGAGTGTAAAATATAATAGTTTAACACGATATTTGAATATACAAAAGTCATCAAGATTGCGACACAAATGCACTTTAATTCTTGAGTGGTACAATTTTTTTAAAATATTTTTTTTTTCAAACTCATTTTCAATCAGAAATTCTTACAATAACATGATTTTGCAATGAAACCATAATTGACATACATTTTAACTTAATTTCTCCTCAATATCCTTTCGGTTTCTCAAAATTAATTTCAATCTCGAATTTCCAACAAGAATGCCTATTTCAAAGCAACAACTCAAGCCAAACTTCCAAGTAAGGGGTCGTTTGTTGCAAGCGGTGCTCAAAAAATTTCACATTTTTCTATTCATGCATAAAAATTTAAGGCTTAGCACAGCCATTTTGAGTTTAGGCTTGAGAGTTGAACCCAACACGACTTTCTTTTCAGACGCGATCAAATTTACACTTTTAATTGCAGTAAATATAACCTTTGTCAGGGAGTTCAACTTGCTTAGTTGCATAATTTTAATAAAAGTCAATGAAACGTATAGTCGATATTAATTATTGCAATCATGCTACAAGTACATTATCTTTGACATCAAGTTTGACATTGTACCACATGTTGCAGTACGATTGACCAGTTTGAAAATACAGTACACTTTCCCTTCACTCAATTTTTGAATTTGCAAAGGAGTGTTAAACTCCATGTACCCCCTAATGTACAAGTGGCATTTTCCTTATAATTATTGCCTTTAATTTATATTTTTATCAAGATTTTAAGCCACACTAATAAGGGACATAAACAAATTGAATTGACTCAAAAGTCAATATTCAATATTCAAGTAAATTCTGCGTATATCCATTTTCACACATTTCTGTACATCAAAATTTTGGTAGAGCTATAAGAAGAAGCGTCAAACAGCCAACTTATAAGGAAATCAGAGATTATCTTTAAAAATTTAAGTCTCTACTACAACTAAGAATGATACATCCAATTCAAACATCCGAAATTCTACATCAGGTTAGAAAACACCAGAGGAAACATGACTCCAACTACACGACACTCATACTAGCGAAGTACTAACCTAGTATGTATCTAACGAACGAAAAAATTGAAAGAAAAAAGTTCTGTTCCAACTGACAAATCATATTCTAGTTGAAAACGATAATATGCAGTCATCCACTTCTAACCAGGGTCAGAAAGAAGCTTAAAAGTTTCACGCCTCCTAAAAACAGCTAATAAGATACAAACAAGAACAATATAAGCAACACATTTAGCAAGTAATTTCATGGCGTTGCTCTCTAGAGTCTTCTCCCGACAATGAGACATTACTTTCTGGGACAGCAATTTTCGAACCTTGAATGGAGTTTGCAGAAGTTAAGTTGTCTCCACGGAAGGAAGCAGATGAGTTCAAATTTGGCTTCTGTCCACCGGAGGCTCCTTCATATCTTTCTTCAGAAAAAGGATTAGCAGGGCTCGGGGTAAATGATATTGTGCGCTCATACTTCTGCTTTTTGGGCTTCAGCTCCTGATGGTGGCCGGGAAGAAAGCTGCCAACGACAACCTGTTGCACAAGAAAAGTTCAGAGTATTGCCAAATAGCAAATCTTTTTGTCTGGTGTCATACTTGTTCTATTATCATACGAACACAAGTGGATTGTTGATTATTTGGACGACATAGTATTCATTTCTTTTGTGTCTCGTTTTCGTTCATTTTGGTAATGCTTTCTAACCTGGACAGGGCCTGCTGCCACTAGCATTCCGGCAAGGCCTCCCCCCAAAACACGGCCATCTGGACCTGCCAGAGAGACACTCATCCCACCAGATCTGCCTTTCGTCAATCCATTATCGTTTGGCATAAACGAGCCTGTCAGAGAAAGTATTTCAAACCGGCCCTGTAGAAATGGCATAATTATAATTCTTGTTAAAAATTTAAGAAATGATAATTTTGATGGCTTCCATAACTTAGCGAGTTCGATAAAATTTTCTTGGAGAGGGGGAGACAAAATAAGAGAATTCAGGAAAACCTTCTGTAAACATCACAATTCCAAGCCTCTGAAAATTCTATCAGATGCGAAATATGCAAAACTTCTTATGTGAGGAACAACATTCCACCTCAATGGAAATTAAAATCCCCACGTTGTGAAGACATGTTTAGCTGAGCTTAAAAATAAGTTAAAGTTACTCAAGGGTAAGTTATTTTTTTCCCCTTACTTTAAGCAAAACAATGATGTTTATTTTGAAAGTTACTCTTGCTACTGTCAAAATTATTAACTTATTTCGAATTTTAATCAATAAATTTTTTACTTGCGTAAACCTTTTAAGCTTAACTGAAATATAATCTCTATTAACAGCAATGTTGAATAAAGCACCCACACCTCATAGGTCAAAGTACCACCGGAAGAATTAGGTTGATGAAGTGTAACATTTGAGATGGGACCATTTGCTGCCAGAATGCAAATAGCTCTTGAGCCTTTTTGAGAGAAAGATATTATTTTCATTGTGACATCCTGATACAAACAGAATGGAAAACTAAAATTTAAACAAATAAACATCGACCAACAGCAATATTAGAAGTAAAAATCGAAGTTTCAGTCAAATCAAAGAATTGAGATGCCTTCACAGCAAAATTCCAGATGTGCCGTTTCTTTTTCATAACTAGAAAATAAGAGCATCCTGCTCCAAAATCATATACCATCCTCACTTTCAAAAAATTATGGGGATGTTTGTGAAGGAGGATTGATTAAAAAAATTTAAAATCTTATTTATTATATTGTTTGGTCCCGTCCAGTACTACCTATCAAATATGAACTAAATGGACTCAAGTACCAAGACGCAATGTAGTGCTTAAGAATTAACTTTTAAGCAAAGAAGCAGATAGTTAGTAGGTAACGAAAGTATTTCTACACAAACCATTTGATGTCACATATAGTTAAATTTGCACACCAATAATTAGCCCCAGCCCCCAAGTATGATTATATCTCCGGAAATTATTATTCTTATATGATTAAGTCTTAAAATGATGTAATGTTATGAATATCAATGATAATAGTATATGATACCATAAAAAATATGAGCTCAAAACCTTATAGGTAAAATGCTACTTTTCCAATCATCTTTCTATCGCCTATTATTTAAAATTCACAAACTAATGGCAAACTGTGAACATATTCTTTGTATTTTGATCATCTATAACGCAGATACTACAATTTACTGAGTTAATAAATGAACTGAATGAGATTTTATATGAGAATTCATGAAAATTTCTAAAGATTTTTCTTCTTCTCTCCGGTATAAAATTTGACCCCATTGTGTCTTCAACAGCACAATGTCAAAAATCACAAAAGAGCACCTTGGACTCTTTTAGAAAAAAATGCGCTAGTGTTCCGCAATGTATTGCCTCGGTATCTGTCCACAACCTTTTCTTTTAGTTGCACAATAGTTCCCCGGTGACGGAAACAATCCAAATATCTATTTAATCATCAAATAACGCTTGCATGTCCAACTTCATAAAGCTGGTTCTTACTTCTCAATATGGGCTGGTGTCTAGAAATTTAGCACAAGGCATTTTTTTGGGTAACTCCTATTCGCGGTAACTAAACTTTCACTCTATTTCATACAGGTACTTAGACTTTAATTTGATTTAAATCAGGTACTCTGTATGTCATTTGAACTGAAGAAAATCAATGACATAGCATTCAATAAAGATGCCCACCATTTATTTAAATGAAACTGTACTTATTTCACATAGTCACATAGAAACTAATGGTCACGTATGATAACTATCATTTATTGATTACCACATCATTGATTACCGTTGGTGGAATTGAAAAAAGTTACTTCAATTAAAATTAAATTAAGGTGTAGTTACTGATTGAAATCATATTAGTGCAATTACCGAATCAAACTAGAGTGCCAAGTGAGATTTAAAGTGAGAATTTATTGAAGATTTGGGTCATTTCCACCATTGGGGACTGGTAGCACAACTATAATTAAATGTTGGTGACCAACTTGCTCATTTATAAAGGTTACTCACCAACTTTCTACTAGGGTAATAAATTAGGGACCATTAGTGAAATTTTCCCATCAAACAAATAATGTTTGAACCATCAGTATATGAATCAACAGAAGGTTTTTGACATCAAGCTGTTTAAATTATAAAACTAGATGTACAAACTTTACTTGTAACTAGAAGTACCTCGCCTGCATTAACAGTTATCACATGGGGTGTAAAACCTGCACCACCATTGTATGCCGCCTTTTCACCTACAAAACAGATAAATATCAAATCGGTTGCTAAGGAAAATTTAAAATTTCATCAAAGCACAACGAGAAGATATTTAATTGATGAATGAGTGACTTCAAACATATAATTGCATCATGTTATGGGTAGTGTTCTAATGATATTTGATTATGCACAAATAAAAGGAAGTACAAACAATCATTTTCTTCGTCCCCTGTATTTAAATAAACATGCCAAAAATAGAGTATTTCTCCATTGGAAAAACTGGGGACCTCTATAATTCTGGATATCGTTGGTAAATTTTTTAAACCCCTGTTTGGTACATATTTTTTCAAAATTCATTTTCAACCACACATTCTTCAATAAAATAATATTTTCTATCACATTAATAATTTTTCCTTATTTTTTAACCACATATTTCCCATCATATCACTATTTAAAATACATCAATTCCTCAATAATATCCATCAAACACATCCCAAAAGTGAAAATATATCTTATTAAGCCAGAAATAAGGGGAAACTAATGCCAAAACATTCCTGTGGTCAGAGGCCTGAGAGCGGCATGTTCTACTGCTGCATTACTAGCTTCTTCAGAAGTCCCGTGATAACAGCTTCTCATTTGAAAGTAATTATACACATTGATAGGATGCATAAATTTAGGCAATGAATCTCGTCGAAATTAGTTTTATGTTTCGACTTCGTGCTATCTCTCAGTCTCTGAGTCAGAACATATTCTATCCATGCTGTCTTTACATTAGACCCACACATGTCATATCAGCTACTCCTCATTCACTCAATTATTGAGTGAGAGACATTTTGTTGTCAAATCAAATCAGCTCAGTAATGACATCATTAATAAAACAAGTGGTGTTTGAGAATTCCTACATGCTTACAGCATCAGATTATTTTGACCCCACGAAACTCATAAGATTTCGCAGAATAGAAGATTCCACCATCTTCAGCAGGAGAACCATAAATTCTTTTAAAGACCATAACAATCACAATCCAGATCCAAGGGGACATTTGCCAGTAGGCACAAAGTGCAGCAATAAATAGTTAAAATAAATGAAGAAGGTTGACCCTAAAACACCAAGAAAACATAAAAGAGTACACTGTGAGAGAAAAAAGTGTTAAATCACCTCATCTAAAAACTTAAGCTATTCAAGATGCTCCTCATACATAGGCCGGATAATTTTTTATATAATTATTTTAAATGTATGACACGCAGACATTTTTATACATGATGGCAACAAGACTAGAACTCAAGATCTCTGCCTAGTCTAATACGATGTTGAACCATCGCATTTAAGCATTTTCTTAAAGAGCAAATATATATATTTATTTAAATCTAGTCTTCAACCAAAACAGATGGTAGATTTAGATTTTAAACACTTTAACCAACCATATATAGCATTATCACATGTCACTTGACTAACCAACAAACCAATTTAATTTCAGTGTCATTTACAATCACTGTGTAACAGTAAATCACGGAAAAAGCAGAAACCACTATCTATAATTCAAGATTCAAATCAATAAAGCAAAATATCATATCATTACCAGGTCTTTCGAAGTCCAACTTATGCTTTTTCTTGTAAGAGTCGACCGGGCGACCAGTACTGTGTTTCCAAGCTGAGAAATCTCCTGTAAGTGGAATTGAAGCAGATATTGGCATAGGTGACAATGCCAACGCTGAACCATCTGGTGCATACTTCCGCGGTCTTCCCTTCTTCTTCTTCATGTCAGTGGCCAGCGCCGGAGCAGGCACGTGCACCGGCACGATAGCCTGGGCTTCTGGTGTTGGCCCAGCTGCTGATCCAGTATCTAGATTAGGATTTTCAACCCTTGGCTCAATCCTGAAACCCTGTGGGGCTTCATCTTCCTTCACTGTCAGTGTCACCCCAGTAACATTTGAACCTTCTTTTTCATCCATTCATATACTAATAAAACAAAGACCTGAAAAATCCTTAAAACCTTTAAAAAACCTCTATACTGAAGACCTAAACTCAAGAACGTAAAGCTTGAACCTTTTTTTAGCTCAAATGCTCAGAGTAAATACAAAAAACACCTTTCAACTGGAAATTTCCATGAAAATCGAACCTTTATCAAAAACTCCGAAAATCTTGCATATAACCCGCTTCAGAAACTAAAAATCTTGAAAACCCAAAATCAGCTTTGTATATTCAAAGATCATCAGAATCCAACAAGGCCCGGCTGTGGGTGTTATTTACTGTAACTTCCTGAACTTATGGTTTAACCTCTGCCATTGCACAGAAGAAAATTAAAATTCTTTCTAAAATGAACTTATTTTCACAGAAAATGAAAATAAATAAATCAGGAGTTATGACATTAGGGTTTTGCAATAAAGAACAGAGGTAGGAAAAGCGAGAAATTTAAAAATAAATAGGAATTAATAAAATATTTCGAATTTATTAGGAATTAACAATATTTATATTGCAAAATTGAAAATATTAATTACGGTTTTGAAAATGGTTTCAGGTCCGTTTTGGAAATTCAAGAAATGGGAATTAAAAAATGGGAAAGTTAAAGGCATATGAATAAAAAATGGATAAATTCATAAATAAAATAATTTACTTATTTAAAAATGGAAGTTTAACTGTTTAAAGCTGTAAAGTTAACGTTGGAGCCATGCGAAACTTCTCCTGCCTCTGACCTCTTCTTTGTCTTTTTAGGTGTTGTTAAAGTTGACCATTTGAAAAGAAACACCCTTCAGCTTCGGAAATATTTGCTGATTTTGCCACTGTATGCAGTTTATAAGTGTTGTAGGGTTTTTACTTTTTACTTTTAATTGAATAGAGTTGCTTAGGTGAGTTGAGATTTGCTATCCCATCTTGTTCTCCACGGTTTCCATCTTAACCAGCAAGTTTTTTGGTTGATTTCGGATTTTGCCTAGTTTGGTTATAACTTAGCCTCTATTTGGTAACCATTTTTACCACATTTGTAGAAAAATTTCACCATTTATATAGTGACTGTGTCAGAAGGAGCTGCCCCTTTTTTTGACCAAATTTGGTGAAATTACCAATTTGCCGTTTCAAACAATCTTTTTGTGAGACAAGTGATGGCAAATTTGAAAATATGTTGCTGCCATATGCAAAAGTTGCTGTACTTGGATCCCACTAACACAGATAACGGGTGAAAAATTCATTCTCATTTTGGCCAAAAATGGTTACAAAACACAGGCTTGTACTCAAAAGTAAGTCAAATCACTTATTTTGACAAACTTAAATTTAAATGAGTAATTTTGACAAACATAATTTTCAAAGTTACGTTTCCTAATTAATCTACTTTTTGAGAAGTTACTTTACAATCACAACAAAAATGCATTGAACAACAAAATCACTCTACTTGATTAATAGTGACATCGAGCGAAATCTAAGAAAGAAAATAAAATCACCAATTAAATAGTTAATACACCACCACCACTTCAGACTTCTCCATTTAGCATAGTACTAGGAGAGTATCACAATAGCTTGAACAAATCACTATATCCATTATTTGTACGGGAAATCATACTGAGCAACTTAGTCCACCTTCAATTGTTTGTGGACTATGTATACATTGGAAAAGCCAATAGAATTGACTTACAATCACAAGATCCAAGCTATATAATAGGAATCTCAAGGTCTTGAAACGGGTCAAATTTAAGTCAAAGTCTTTCGATGGTCTTTGGGAAGCACAAATCCTGCTCTCCTTTCCTCAAACGAGTATTCAATATCTTCGTCTTCCATTGACTTGGGTACACAAGGAACTGGTGTGATAGCTGTCAGCATTGGAACTGAAACGGTAGATGGTGTAGAAGGCACAGGAATTGCCATTGTTTTGGGGGTTCTGTTCTCTTCGTCCAAAGTAGAAATCGTCTTGGAAGGAGTTGTGAATGGTGGTGTATTGTTGCTTGTAAGTGTCTTCTGCAACATCTCGTTATGTTTTATGTTCAGATCTTCCAAAATATTTGTTGCTTTGGATTTTGAGGAGTCCGTGGAAGAAATGGGAGAGAAAGGCTTTCGAATCATTGGCAACTCTATTTCATGAGCGTTCGGTGGATTTAAAGAATGTGGTTTCAGAGGAAGACCAGCTATGTCCAGACCCCTCCGTCCTAGATCAGAGAAATGAGAATGAGATTAGAAATAAGAAACAAGAAGAGGATTCAAAACTTTGCATATGTAACTTCTATGAAAATAACCAACTATTGAGCAAAAGAGAAATTACCAGATGACATAGCATGAAATCTATCATCCCTGGTGGGGTTGTCATGACTCAACCGGTCATTTTTCTTGGCATGACGTGTATTAGGAGTAGCTTTGGTGGAGTGAAGCATATCATGCTTAGGAGTTTGTAGAGATGTGCCGCCAAGAGAAAGTCTTCTATTGCTTGCACCACCGCATGACAATCTAGGTCCTTTCTTCACACTCTGGTTCTTCATAGGGCTCGGTTTTGAACCATAAAGAGCCTCCTGTTCTGCTAGTAACTGCCCCTGAAGTTTCTTCTGATCCTGAAAATAAATAAAAGAAACACAAAATCAAAGTGAGACAGGGTGAGAGCACAGGTCATTAAGTGTGAAATTCAAATGAGAATTTTTAAGAAGACTATACCCTCTGCCTTTTGCGTTCTTGCTCTTTTTCTTGCCGTAGAAAGTTATACTCGTCAAGCATAGAAAGAAGACGAACCTGTACACAGAAAATAAAAAAAGGAAAGGAGTAAAATTTGGTTAAACAAAAACTAGAGCCAGAGAAAAAAATAAATATGCAGACTACACAGGGAAACACTTACACCGTCGTAAGTGAATTCGATTCCTCTCTCATTCTCCCAAGATGATGTTTTGGAAGCCAATGCATCCACAATTGCTGAATAGAAGGTACAGAAAAGAAACTAGTAACGAAATCTATCATGTATTTACACCAACAGATGGGTTTCTAACAAAATGTAATATTTTACCAGGAAGTTTGTTGACCAAGACGCGAGCTTTCTCAGCCCGTTTCAGTGTAAGATGAGCACCTCTCCCAGCATTGTAACGATTTTCATCCTACACAGATTAGATTGATTTTGAGCAATTGGATGCTTGCAGTTTATATAAAAATAACTGGCCTTGTTGAAAAACCCAACCCTATTGTACTCCTCAAGCCAGCTCTCCTCTTCACATGCAACCATCCACTTCTCAACCTTGTCAAGGATATCTTTCCTGCTAAATGCCTCTTCTTTAACTTTAGCTATTTGAACCTCAATTTGTTCAAGCACATAAGTTGCATCAACAGCTCCTGTTATTTGAGGGATAACAGAATTAGACTCAATGGAATAATATCATTACTGTCTTTTCTAACGTATAAAGTAGTACCAGATTCAATAGCTTCAATAGCAATGTCCAATGAACTATCCGTTTCTGGAATCAGATGTGTTTTCCTACATATATCTTCTAGCTCCGACTTCTTTTTCAGAACAAGCTCCTTCATTTTGCTTGTTTTCAACTCTTCTAACCGAGAAACCTCTGCCTCGACCTGTTTATTCATCAAAATTGGAAATAAGCAACTTGCTTTCAGAGTAAAGTAAAAGAACAAGTAATTTTTACTTAAAGTAAGTTATCTAAACATGTTGAAAATAAAAGGTTACTTAAAAATAACATTTACTTGTATTTACGCTTAGCCAAACAAGCTCAAACATCTATTCTTGACAAACATGCACCATGACTTACAAAAGTAATAATGTCTACAGACAGCATGTTTGGCTCCATAATCTCGTTTTCTGAAGCTGCTAAATTACAAGTGACCTTCTGAAAAACTTGTTGCTCCTCAAGAGGTGTATCCATCAAGTTCCACAGTTGCAGCAAAGACATGGCGAGATCTTGAAGCTGCCAAGGAAAAAATAAAATTTTTACCAAGCTGAAAATAATGAACTTACAAGTGAAAGATGCATATTAGAAATTCCTATACCCTTTGCATCCTTTCTAGTTTAATCACTCTGAGTCTCTGAATAGCAGCCGCTAACTGCTGTATGGTATCATGACTAATATTTTTTGAACCTTCAGGGTTTCCTAAACTGGGATGAACCTCACTGACAGTTTGCTTGAAATCCATACCAAGCACCAAGCACAGTGAGTTCAAAGTGTTGAGGTGATCGAGAACCTGCTTCAGACGTTCACTCTGAAACCAAGGGAATAAGCAAGTTGGTCAAGAATAGTCACTACCTACAAAGCAAGTTAAGAACAAATGATACTGCTATAGAGCAAAGAATAACCTTTTCGTTTTGAAGTGCCTGCAGCTCTCTTTGCAATTCTTCAAGCTTTCTTAGAGACAGATCTGCTTCATCCACTACCAAAGTAGTAGAAGTATACCCACTTGAATTAGAAAGTTCATGCTTAAGCTTCTGTATCTGCTCCAAAACTTCTACAAATTGATTCTTTCTATCACATTTCCTCTTCCTCATTTCCTCTATCTGTGGAAGAATGGCTCTAAGTTCTTCCTTCAAGTTTCCAGGATTTTGATCAGACTGTCAATGAAACATAAATGTCATAATGAACCCCACAACAAATTGTATCTACCTTACTTTTTTCGCAGCTACAAGTATACTTTATATTTGGTAATCTTAGGATTAAAGTCAATTCATGTTTCCTCTCACACACTTAATAGTGACTATTAACAAATTTTCATGCCAAAACAGTATTTCAAAATCACACACGCCTTGAAAACTAAATGCTCTAAAATTTGAGGCTGATAAATTTATATTTGAATTCAAATAATTTCATTGGCATATTCAACAACTCACAAGAGAACAATATCAATATTTCAAAATCATTACAACATTTTATCTACTGCAATTTATTGATTTTATATCCTGACCTGCCTAATATGTACTGGTCGCTCTCCCATTGCGGAGCAGATGGCAGCAAGTTCAGCTTCAGAGTCAGCAATTGCCTGCCTAATCTGAGCTCTACACCTGTTTGCCTGATCTACTTTTCTTCTGTACACCTCCAAGCATTCCCGTTCTAGCTCAAGCAACATTCTATCTCTTTCAGCATCCGACTCTCCTACCTCATCCCATATTATCTATTTTTTTTCGAACAAAGCATAAGAATAAATAATCAGAAGGCTAATGATACTAACAGCATACAAGTGTGAGAAGATTGTACAGTTGAAGTAAGGACTCGAACATCACAACTTCAAAAACGTGCTTCAAACAGGGAATGAGAAATCATAAGAATATCTTTACGTAAAAAATTGGTACTCGAAAACAGAAGAACCTGCAATTCATATAGAAGAGATCCGCATGTTGTTTCCATTTGCAATAGCGGATCACTTTGACTGTTTGACATTGGAAGCAACTTCAACCTGCCCATAGAATCCAACTTTATGAGAATACATGCACAATATGCTAACACAATCACATCAGAGGTCCGTTCAACTTCAATACCGATTATCAACATACTATAATGCTTAAAAATTGTAACTTCCACCACAACAAGGGTGAAATAAACGGGCAAAATAAATTCAGCAAAGAAACCCTATTGCCTAACTCACCTAACAGTAAAATATATTGACCATAGAACCTGCGATTTCAAATTCATTTTTCGAAGTTTTAAATCATACAAATGAAGATTAATAAAATTAATCTATTACATTAACTTTGCTTCACAATCTAGATCATTCAGTTTACCAAACTCATTACGACTTATGAGTTGCAGTACTACAGCATTAATGGAGGTGGGTATGGAATGAGGAATGGAACTAAAACCTTGATCAATTCACAAATGAAACGGGAAAAAATCAACTGGTTCATACACACACACACACAAAAAAAAAAAAAAAGACCCAGCTCAATTCAACCAAACCCCAATATTAAACCAGTATAAACAGAATAAGATTTGAAATATTACCTAATTCACTTCTATTGTCAAAATCAGAAATCGAAAAGTAAATATAAACTCACTCCTTACTAATAGTCGCAATCCCAATACTACAATTCTAATTAGAAGGAAATTTCCCTCTAATTAAGACACTTTTATTCCAATCCCACTTTCTAAATAACTGAACTAGTATCATTTCAATTTTATCAAACTCTACAACTCTCTAAATCCAAACTAAAGAGAGGAAAAAAAAAACTAGAAAGGAAGCAAAACGTAGATCTGAGAACGTACCTTGAAATTTAACCGAAGAAATAAAAAACCTGCGTTGTGACAATTCAGAATCAGATCTCAAAATTTGTTCTAAGTGAGATGAATTTTAAGAGATTGAAAGATTTGAAACTCTTCGTTCAAGAGCTAGAGAGAGAAAATAGAGAAACGTTTGGAAATTCGACCGTTGAGAACGAGATGTACGAGGGTTTAATAATGTTTGATCGGGGCGAAGAAAATTTAAATTTCAAAAGGGCAGAGAGAGAAAATACTTTTTCAATTGGTCCCAACTTATTGCTTAGGAGCATGATTGACCTTTTCAAATTTCCCTATAATACTGATAAATTGACTTTTTACAGTAGATAAATAAAATTTGGTAGGATAACGAGCCAGGAGGGGACCCACAAATAGTTTATTGTGTGAGGGCCCCCCTTTATGTGAGGAGTGTGTGAAGCTTTGTGTAAATTATTATGTACACATAACGCTTCCCTTTTATAATAGTAGATTGATGGAGAATGTGAGGTTAAAAAATAAAGAAAAAATTTGAATTTGAGTGAAATATTATTTTATTAAAAAATGTATCGTTAAAAATAAGAGAGAAAAAAATATATTTTGATAATAATGAGAAACAAATAAGACCCTACACATCATAGAAAAGGGACAAATGGTTAAACTACAAGGGAAACGTTAATCGGGCTTTTGGACAGATTTGGGTTTTCTTTGCTTATTCGGAACATAACATTGTTACCATAAATCATATTTTACTAATTATAATTATATGGGAAAAAAGTGATAAATCAGTCAGATTTCAAGTTTTAAAAAAATGCAAAAATCAAGTATTTATTTATAAAGTAAAAATGTTTTTATTAATTAAATATAATAATATACAATTAATGGTCACAGATATATAATTATAGGTCACAACTTTTATTGATCACATATGAACAAATTAATTGGTCACAGATTATTGCGATGTCATAAATCAAAAGTTGTATAGGTCACAGTTTATTTCATTGGTCACAAATCAAAAAATTTATAGGTCATAGTTTATCTATCGGTCACATATTTTCAATTTTTTGGTCACAAATTATCAAATTTTAAAGTCACGGTTTAACGGTTAGTAACAGATAACCAAATAATTGGTCACATACACTAAATAACCAACCCTCGATCCCCGATTCACCACCAATACTTGATTACAAATCAACCAAATAGTTGTCACGAACACTCTTCATCCCGTCGCCTCGACGACGACGACCACCACCACCACCAATAACAACACCACGACCACAACATCACCACCTCACCACTATCACCACTACCATCAAACCAGATCTGAACCTACAAACCCACCATACACCACATCTGTTCCACAACTGGTCAAACACCACACATAATTGTAAAAGTAAAATTAAGATAATAATGTAAAAAAAATGTAGAAGATGAAAATGATAATAGAATGAATGAATGAATGATATTGTTGAATGTTGATAATTTGTAAATTGTAGAGAGTAGAGTAGAGAATGAGAGGATTGCTGGGAAAAAAATGTTGATTAAGGTGTGGGTATTTATAGAGAAAAAAAAATTCAGTGACCGAAACGGTCACTGAATTTCGTTTTTATTTTTTTTATTGTTATTTTTTTAATTACAACGAGCCCACGAGCCGGCTCGTCTTTTGACGAGCCCGAGCGGCTTGTGGGCTGCTACAGTACGAGCCGAGCCGATGAGCCGCTCGGCTCGATTGCCATCACTAGAGAGGATTCATCACTTTGGATAACTCAATATATTGCATCAACTTGGCCAGGTAGGATTTTGATATGGAGTGTGGACCTAATTGAACTTGTTAGCTAATTGTCAGTGGCCGATACTTGGAACCTGATCAAAAGAGGCGTAACAGTATTATTATAGCTGATTACGTCTGAGTTTTGAAATATATTGATATTCATTAGATAACATCATTGATTTTGTGGTCATTTTTTCATTTAAATTCTTTTTTATGTTTAATTTCTAAAAGACCCTTTAAAGATTTTGTACAAGACTCAAATTGTTAGAGCCTATATTTGATAGTGATTAAGAGAAATTACTTCGTTTCTATTTGACAATCATTATAATAAAACCATTTTTTTTTCTCAAATTCATTTCAATCATACATGCTCACAAAAAAAATATTTTGCAAATAAACTCAAAATTTTCTCCTACTTTTAACTACATATTTTTCAAAAAAATCACTCTTTGAGAATTCGTTTTCCCTCAAAAAATTCATTTTTTGTTATGAAAAGAAAGAATAAAATTCAATAGACTTCAAACTTGTGTATATTATAATGAGAACTAAAGTCCTATATTTATAGGGCAGGATTAGGGATACAATGGTAATAATTTTTAGGGATGCAGGGGTACAATTGTTATTCACTAATAAACTTACCATTTACAGCACTCCTCCTTAAATGATACATTACAAAATATATGCCTCGTTAAAACCTTTTTTGATAAAAAATCAATAAGACAAAAAAATCAAATGAAGGAAAAAGAGTACAGTTATTTTGGAGTATTAAAGATAAATGTTGCCTCATTAAAACCTTGTTAGGAAAACCCGGTGAGATAAAACCTAAACAAGGAAAAATAGTACAGCTACTACCTCTGATGTTGATCACTGAAAATCTTTGAGTCGAAGCATTCCAATCTCGTGAACCAATTTCTTGAATGTAGATGTTGGCAGTAATTTTGTAAATAAATTAGCCAAATTGTCACTTGAACTAATTTGTTGAACCTTGATGTCGCCATTCTTCTGAAACTCGTGTGTATGAAAGAATTTTGGAGAAATATGTTTCGTCATGTCACCTTTGATATAACCTCCTTTGAGTTGTGCAATGAAAGCATCATTATCTTCATACAAAATTGTTGGACTATCTTTTGTTGAAATTAATCCGAATGATGCTTGGATATGATTGGTCATGTTCCTCAACCATACACATTCTCGGCATACTTCATGGATTACAATAATTTCAGAATGATTTGAGGATGTTGCTGTCAATGATTGCTTCACAGATCTCCACCACATAGTTGTTCCTCTATGTGTAAACATGTATCCTGTTTGTGATTTAGTTTTATGTGGGTCAGAGAGATAACCTGCATCTGCATATCCTACTAAAGTAGATCCCGACTTTTGAGAATAAAATAATCCTAAATCAATAGTACCCTTTAGGTGACGAAAAATATGTTTAACACCATTCCAATGTCTTTGTGTTGGTGTAGAGCTATATCTTACAAGGAGATTTATAGAAAAAGGTCGAGTGCAATTTGCAAGACAAGTTATGCTCCAATTGCACTAAGATATGGTATTTCGGACCAAAAATCATTTCTCCATCTTCAAGTGGACGAAAAGGATCATTTTTTATATCAAGTGATCGAACAACCACAGGTGAAGCCAATGGATGTGCATTATCCATATAAAATCATTTCAAAACTTTTTGTATCTGTAGATTGATGAACAAATAATCCTTCTGGGAAATGTTCAATCTGCAACCTAAGACAGAATTTGATTTTTCCTAAATCTTTCATCTCAAATTCATTTTTCAAATAATCTGCAGTTTTGTTGAGTTCTTCTGAAATTTCAATTAAATTTAAGTTATCAACATAAACTGCCACAAT